GTGGAAATCGGCGAGGAGATCGACGTGGTGAATAGCCCCACAAACTGTGCCTGTAGGGTGACCTGTGGTTTTGCGAAGGTCCTTGTGAATCCCTCGACGATCTATAGGACGAAGATGTCTTGTATACTGTAGCTGACGTCCTTCGCGAAGGCTTATCTTAGTCCGCACTTTGGGAATGGTGACTGGTCCTTAGCGAACGCTGGTCGTCCAATTCTGTATCCAGGGATGGAAGAATTCTCCTTCGCGAATGCCTTCACGAACGCTGATTCCGCATCTGGGGGATGGCGACTGGTCCTTCGCGAACACTGGTGGTCCGATTCTGTATCCGGGGATGGCGATTTCTCCTTCGCGAATGCTGATCGTCCGTGTCCGCCGCAGGAGATGGTTGAGTCGACCTTCGAGAAGGCTGGCCTGTAGTGTAGATCTGCTGCCAGATGTCACGTTGATGAAGGGTCCCTCAGAGACGACGTCTGCGTTGGAACCTTTGCGAAGGCTCGGGACCTCGTTGTGGGCTGTGACTTCTTCTCCAGGCCATAACGCTGATCATCTCCTGCATGAAGTCCCCCGGTTTGAAGGTCTGCGGTGGTAGTAGCGCTGCCCTTTCTGGCGCTGATAGCGACATGGTCCACAGAACGCTCATCTGTTGTCATCGTAGATATCTCGGGTACCGTGGAGATCTGCGCTGAAGTCGAAGGTGACTGGTTGTTACTTGTGATGAACCTCTGGGAAGATGATCTGTTGATCATCAGAGAGTCCCTGTACCGTCAACGGAACAATCTTGGCAGAGAAAGTTCTTGTAGTCTGCGCAGACGTCCCCGTAGAGTTGTCGTCATCTAAGGGGTGTGTAGCCTTCTCTGGGTAGAGGATGGTGTCTATACATTGCCTGCGAAGTTGTAGACGCTGCCCTATCTGCGTTGGTGGCGACAGGACCCATGGGAAGATCATCAGTCATCAGCGTTGACACATCACTGTAGCTCATACCGGTCGTTTCTTGTGATGAACCTCGGGAATGATGAGCGGCTGCTCATCATACAGGCCCTGTTCTGCGACGGGAACAATCTTGGAGTCTGCGCTGAGATGTAGATGCCCTCTTAGTCTAGACTGTGACGACGGGATGTCTGGTGATGCAGGTCGCTTCTTGGAGATCGCGGACTGCATCCCACGCCTCTCCTCCAAGAGAACTCCAGCGGAACACCAGACGGGAGGGGATCATCCGACAGCAGTTGACTTGAGAGGGATTCAGCCGCATATCCATGCCAGGATATAGCTTACGTGACCTATCTGCTGTGCGTCATAATACGCAAAGTAAATATTTGTTAAATGCAGAATTATATAAATTATTGCAAAAACTGCAATCTGAACTAAACGAACATGGTACAGTACAGCTAGGGCATATTAAATGTGGATCAGCACCAGAAAAACGTAACTTGCAAACAGTACAGAATTTTTCATGATCGTAACCTACTGAACAAACACGGAAAACACCGCGTATAAACAGCAGTAAATACGGATAATTATCAAAACATATTGTTGAAGGATACTAGCTAAACCTCTATAAGGGACTTGTAGAGGTAATTAAGTAAGAATAATCAAAGGATATAGTGCCGTAGGGAGACACAGGCGCTCTCATATCCTGCTCACTGGGCGAAGAAGGAGAGAGTGAAGCATGTGGGTGACGGTGGCGCGGTCTTTCCCGCCGGAGGGGCAACTCTTGGCGGGAAGAGTAGTGATTAGTGATTTTACGTAGGTTTCAATTGAAGGGAGCTTCACTAGGGAGATACAAGTGTTCCACTATGTTCGCAAGAAGAAGAAGACAAGCAAAAGAGCAAGAGTCAGGATAAAGAAAAAAAAAAGAGATGCACACCATTAGAGTCCCAAGAAAGGCCATGTATAAGTTCATTGAATTCCACAGAGCGGTTATGGTGGAGAAGTGGATAGAATATATTCCCTGTTTCATACGGACGGACGGACGGACGGACGGACACCGAGGGTAACCCTATATGCCCCCAGGCATATATGGCGGGGGTATAAAAACCAAAATGTCTTCAGAATACTCTATGTTGACAGAATATCACAAAAATTACGCAGGTTTTGTGTTTAAACAAAACTGGTTATTCATGTTGACTGCTGTGGAAAAACCCAGCAGAAGATTACTGGTTGCAAAAATGGCACATTCTAAAAAAACAAACAAGACTATTCAGGATTTCTGCAAGCCCACAACTAAAATTTCTAATAAAGTAATTGGAGATGACGAGCCTATTTTGCTCAGAACAAGTGCTCGGAGACTCACAACTGATTTGTGTGAAAATATCTATGAATGAATCATTCCAAAAATGTTTAAGGAGTAATCAATGCGAGTGGCCTCTTCTAAAGTACAAACTATTGTTGATATGTGATGTGGATAAAAAATAGATATTTTGCAAAATTTGCAAATAGTTTGGTCAATGAGTTAGAAAAGACGGAAACTGTGAATTCTTTTCACATTCCCTTATCCTTACGACTATGGGGTGGAAACAACCTGAAACAAACACTCTTGTAACACCTCTTCCGAACATACCAATTCTAACTCATTTGCAGCAGGAAGCAAAGTATGCATCTTGCCCTGGCTGAATTTGAAATATTTTACACTTATCTTATCTCATGTTATGCACTGATCCCAGTCTAAAGGTAGATGACAACTGTGAAATGACTTGTTCATAAGGAGGCTCTGAAAATCCCTTAGTGATACTTTGTACGATCCTCCCAGGGACTCCCCTGATCCTGAGTTTTGTGATTTCCAGTTGTATCACTTGTCAAAGGACAATGATGAAGCCAAGCGACAGGGAATCAAGACCTAAAGGCCTTTTGGTCCCCAGTTCAGCACAGCAAGTCCACACAAATGTATTTCAGGTTAGAGGTAAAAGTACTGCAACAGGTCGGTAATCTCTCTGAACCTGTCCAATCCATGACCACATATTATTTCCTGGAGGATATTAATAGTTGAAACCTGTCACAGGAACGTTTCCAAAAGCCATACAATTTTTTTACATTGCTTCTCATACTAGCATGGCTGCTTGAGAAAGTAGAGGTTAGCAGGTACATGGATCAACTCGATGTCAGAGTTGTAATACATGGCATGTAATAATCCTGGAAGATAGCCTTGAGTGAGTGAGTGAGTTTGAGTTTAGTTTTACGCCACACTCAGCAATATTCCAGCTATATGGCAGTGGTCTGTAAATAATCGAGTCTGGACCATACAATCCAGTGATCAAAGATTGCTTTGTAATGATGGCATTGTGATGGCTCTTCTTTGACATATCAGTAGAACACTGAGGGAGGTTGAGAACTTGTAAGTCTGTAGTAGAAGATAAAGCCAATCGAAGATTAAGATACTTTATTCTTTAAATACAAAATATCGTATCAAGTTTCTAGGGTAGATACCGTATACCGGGAAATTTTCAAGGTATTAAAATTTCGAGGTTTGAGACCCCCAGAGCTTTCGAGGTGATTTAAATTTCGAGGTTTGGGGACCTAAAATATATAAATATTTTAGACAATGTTATTTTCGAGGCTAGAAGAAAGTGGCCAGAAACATCACTTACCGGACCAATACTCACTGAGCTATCGGCAAAACTCCTAGTAGCCAGTGATAACTGCTGTCTGACTGTTATAACTACCGGTATACCAGCCCATGGCAGCAATAGTCATGAAAACAACCCTTTGATCCTTTGTTGTGATTAATGGCCCATCAAGCTCTCTGTCGGCAGAGTTCAAACATGACGCCATTTTTTCTCAGATGATATTTTTTTAACAACTAACTATAAGCATGTATGATGGGTCTCTGCTGAAACTATTTTGCTGTTAGAAAGCTGAGAAGTTGAACGCTTTTGTTTACGATAGTTTATACATGTAAGTAGCTTGACTCAAACGTGCCATCGCACGAATAAAAGTTTGTTTCATTCGATGTCGTTACATTTTGATGACACAAAGTGAGTCTAATAGCGTGGTTGTAGACAGGCATTACAGAGTTAATGCGCATGTCAGGAAGTCATTGTTTGCCAGCAGTTGAAATGCTTATCGATAGGAAATCTAGGTACGAAGTTCGGAAAAATTCAGAATGCATACACAAAGAAATGGTACTATTGGTAGTACTGGAGACTTCTGCTGTAGAAGCTGTGGATCGTTTCCAATGTCTATGATGGTTTTGCAGAGTGTTGATGTAGAACTTTAAATTTGCTTGTTGTTAAATGCCGCACCCAGAAATATTACAGCTAAAATTGGCAGCAGTCTGTAAATATTTGAGTATGGATGAGACAATCTAGTTATCAACATCATGAACAGAGATCAACACAATTTGGATACGATAACATGTGTCAACTAAGTCTGCAAGCCTGACAACTCCTATGACAAGCATGGTGTGCTGAAAACCAATTCTAACCTGAATGTTTACGGGTAAGATTTATAGAGCCCTGATAGGACAGACCTATAGATCCTAAACATTGTCAGACTCTAGGATAGAAGACAGCCATGGAATGGTGAACAGGCAGTTGACCCATGAAGATCTTACCATACTCCTTTCTTTCACACTTTTAATATCAAGAGCATGGATTTCCGAGATGCATGCTGATACAGTCAGTGCAGTGAGAAAGACTGTCCTGTGGGTGATGTGCCCAGAGTCTTTAACTTTGAGCGGTTTGTAGTCTGCTGATGCAAGGTGCCTAAGGATCACTGACAGATCCCAAGCTGGTGGTCAGTACTTCTTTTTAAGCCTGAAGAAAGTACTCAAGTTCTTTACTCTTCCCTCTAGCTGTAGTTACTCAGCACTGTCTGTGCTGAAGCAATAGTTGGGGAAAAAATGCCATGCCTTTCTTTACAATTACTTGGCTAAATTGAAAATTGCACACCTGAAAAACAGGTTTAATGCCCTATGATTTTTTTTCTATTTGAGCCCTGCAGTACATAGTCTCATAGCAAAAGTTTATACAATTTTTCAGTGTCACTTTTATGGATCATGTTCTTACCTGGAGCCCCCTCTTGCTTTGCCTTGTCTGGTTCCATCTCCTGGTTTCTGCTGAAAGTAAGATAGGCTTATGGGATATAACTGTGATGATATATGTTGGATGTTACATTATTTCCTGCCCTGAGTGAATATAAACTTTCTAAATGCATATTTTCTATTTCTGACAAAATGAAAGTGGTGATTTGAATAGTGAAGCAAAAGTGGAAATATCTGCTAAGGTAATATACTGTTGAAAAGATGCTCATCACCGACAGCCATGAATAGAAGAGGACACTCCTCAGTTATTTGTGACAAAGCAATAAGTTTATGGTCTTGGTTGCCATCAATGTTTAACAAACAATGAACACCATGGAACAACTGACATGATCTATTCAATCTGATCTGAGTATGTAGTAATTATATTGCTAAATGAAAATTACTGAAAATATTTGAGGTAGGGGGATATTACATATGACAGTTGAACTGATTTGATTATTGAGATTCCATATTCAGCTAGCTGGTTATATGCTGACAAACGTTTGCACCCTGTCTGTCCAGTTGCTACATATATTGGCAGAAACTATGAACTGCAAGATGACAGTGCCAGACCACACTGTGTCCTGATTGTCACCAATGTTCTCAGTGGAGAGGGCATACAAACATTGGGCTGGTCTGCGAGGGGCTATAATGTTCATTGATGCCATACTCTGTTAGCTGTAGCAAGGAAAGTTTACCTGCTGTAGTGCCCTGCCCCAGCTGACATGACTGGTATGATCCCTAAGTGCTATTTAATAAATTTGGTGGAGGTCCCCTCAATAAAAGGAAATAATTAATTATAAGTCTTCAAAATCTATCTCCTGTGCTACAACTAAGAGTTAATGGGGGTTACATCAGGCATAGGATGGCATATCTGGACTTCCAATTAAGTTTTTAATTTCAAATACGATAACCTGGAAAAAATATCACTTATGTGTTTTGGACATTTTGCCTATCAGTTTTGAAGTGGAAAATCATTTGTAAATGAAATTTCTCTGAAGACTTTATGTGAAACAAAACAAACATTACTCAAACTTGTTGTTTTTTTTACCTGACATGCCAGAACACCAAAATATTAACTGCAATTGGAAATTTTACTATAAATTGTATATTTACATATACTTATTCTATCTCACGGTATGCACCTCTCTTCTTCTATGACCATGTGTGGAAATGTGCTGTAGGCTAAGTTGAATCAAAGCTTTCTTGCCTCTAACCACCTGACCTCTGCCCCCACACCGATAGCACGACCTGTCAATCATCTCATAAGCGTTCTGGTTGCTCAGATGATCACGTGACGCTTTCTGCCCGTCATTCTCGTCTTGGAGCTTCCAGTAATCTGTGATGTGGGGCAGGTCGGGTGGGTATCCATCCAGTGAGATAGGATAAGTATATAAATATACAATTTATAGCTAAAATTTCCAAATTTTTAAACTTATCCTATCTCACGGTATGCATCATCCCACGGTTGACTGGTGGGCCGCAGATTACCCTGTCAACTCTATAACCGTGAGGTTGTATAACACAAGGAGGCCAGGAAAAAGCACCAATTCCTGATATGCTAACTCCGAACTTGTGATGGGTTGCTTCTGATAATCCCTTAGCTTACACAGCACAAACACTCTAGGGAGTGGGCGGTCCCGAATTAATGTGGACCCCGCCTCCCCACGATGTATCAAGTGACCCCAGTGAATTAAAGTTGAAGACCTTATCTGGACAGTCCCTGCTTCGAAACTACACCCTACAGACACATGCTGGAAGACTGTGAAAGAGGGAATAGCCCAGTTTCTCAACTTGTTTAACGCTCAGTAACAATCCCCCTAATTCACCAAAGGTGAGAAAGGACCACGCAGGTAATTGGAAATCAACACTTCACAGACGTAATTGCTCAGAAAGTAGAGGTCAGTAAGCGGAGTGTCGACCACCTCTGCATGTAGCACAAGACTTGCCTCTCAGTCTATCGAGTCATGGTATGACAGTGCAAACATGCCCTAGTTCCCTCGGTGAAGTGATCTATGCTCAAGCATAATCCATACCAATAAGAAAGATAGGACCGATATCTTTCATGATATAGAGAATGCAAAACCTACACGAAGGTGGGAACTGCATCTTATCTGCATTTGCGAGCCGACGACAATTGCTGCGCCAAAACCAATGGACCCAGTTGGTGAAGACCTTCCACATCAGTAACAGACAAATCCCGGAGGTAGGGTGAGACGAAGACCGTGTCCAAACTCCAAAACAACCCTCCATGATGCCGTGAAGGGAACAGTTCTATGTAGCACCATCGTAGAGGTCAAGGCTCTTGTCTCATGAGGGTAGGCCATAGTAGGAGGAAGAGGGTCAGCTTAGGAACAGGCATGAAGGATGGTAGATCGCATCCAGAAGGTCAGTGTAGTACAAGAGACTTTCGTAGATGAGGCAGATGACAGAGAAATAAACAGTCTCTTGCATAACCTACGACGGTCCTTGGATGCAGCTAAAAGACCCGTAAAGTCAGGAGGGCATAGGGAGAGGTCCTTGGTGTCGTGTCGTCAGGGCCCAGAATAGTAGACAGGGGTGGGCAGGCAAATAGTCTTTCAAGCTGTCCAGGCAACTGGTTTCAGCGACGAGATCCCACCTCAAACCAAGGAGGGCTTTGGCATGTGACATCCAGTGCGTGAAGCTTAAAGATGCAAGCAGCAATCGCAAGAGCCAGGAGGAAGAAAGTCTTAAATGTGACATGCTTGAAATCCTTCTCTGCCAGTGGTTCATACTCCTCTGATGTGAGATAATTAAAAATCACGGAAAGGTCCCAGGCTGGTGGACGGAACTTCCGGGATTGATCAGCAACTTGTAAGATCTAAGGAGAGACTGGAGCTCAGGGACAGTTGACACCTTTGCACCCGTAGCCGGCGTAATAACTGTGTTACACATGGCCAGGTATGTAGACAAGGTAGAACCCTTCAATTCCTTAGAAGTTCTAGAATGCTGGAGGTACTCCGCGACCATCTGAGGCGATGCTGTAGTGGGAGATATAATACCCATCGTCTTGCAGTACGCTTTAAAATTCTTCCATAGTCATCACAGAGTTGCCTGGCAGAAGTTCGGTGCGCCGTGGTAATTGCAGTAGCGACTCGCTTGGAATATCCCTTTGCAGTTAGCGATTCAAGTAAATGCACCAGGCGTGAAGATTTAGTGTGAGCGGAGACCAAAGCAGCTGATCGATGTGAAGATGAACCAGAAGATCTGCATATCAGCTATCCCCTCAGAGTCACAACTTGAGCTGACATCAACAGAAAAGGGTATTGTACCTGACGAAGAATCTTGAGTTGCGAAAGTGCTAGGGGTACCATAGAAACTCCAGCACAGACATTCAGATCGTCGAGCCACCACTGAAGGACTGGACGCAGTGGTTCTGGAAGGAAGGGTTCAGTTGACGGCCTCGAGATACGTGCGTAGAAATTGCTGTATCGGCCGAAGTAGGAGATGGCCTCTGTACGTTTGGGCTTGAGCTGATATCAGAAGGTCTAGCAACTACTGCCACTGATTAAGGAATATCTCCTGAGATAGGATACATTCGAGTAGTCAAACCAGCATGATAGACTGAAGAAGTGCTGAATGTAGTAGGTTCGTGGCATGGAGTTTGTCAGTCAATTTACAGGAACGTTCACATTGTACACACAGTGATGCAGGCCTTATAATCAGTGATCACAGGAACATATGGTTCGCCAAATGAAGTGTTGGTCCGCCAGATGGAGTGAAAAGCTAAGCAAGGCAAGGGATCGTCAATCTACCTGAACAATCGTAAAGTTGATGGAATGGCATAGGTAAAAAGACCAATGACTCCAGACACTGTCGATAAAGAGGCAAAGGTAGTAACATCGATGCCTACGGACAGTCCGGACATAGCTGCAGTAACATCTGAACTGAGGCCTTCAGCTTAAAAAAACTGAGTAAACCCAGCCAAAGTGAAAGCGTCTTGGCGATTCCGTCTGGCACCCTCGGTAAACTGTATCTCCCGGCTGACTGACAAACTCGACATAATCACTCCTACCAGGAATGGCACCCTTCATCACTGGCAATTAAAGGCTGGGATAGGTATCCGCTTCTGTGGGACCAAGGCAAGTCTGTCAGGTACTTCCTAATCGATGTATCATCAAAAGTCTCCGGTAAACAATCAGTAGTCCGCCATTGCAAATGCTACCGACAATGCAATAACGACAAAAACCCGGACAACACGGATGTCAATCAACCAGACGAGACCATAAAATCTGGGTAAAGTGACGCTAGCAACTTGACCAAACATCGGCTGCCACACGATAAACTGTGCATAAATAGACCAGCTTGATATGCAGTCTTGTTACTTAATATGCAGACTACTCGTAGCAGCTGTGTGGTGTATCACTGGGTGTAATCGTGGTCTGTTTCTCAAGCCTCAGCACCCTTCCTTTCACATCATCGTCAAGTCTCTGGACAAATATGTCAAACCCCGGGTGGTTGTAGAGCTGATATCTACGTCGAAGGGTAGATAGATTCGGTGAATCGAATCATTCATGAAAGGTGAAGATCGGATGGACTGACTGAATTTGGTTTTATGCCGCTTTTAGCAATATTCCAGCAACATCAGGGCAGGGGACACCAGAAATGGGCTTCACACATTGTACCCATGTGGGGATTCGAACCCGGGTCTTCGGCTTGAAGAGACAACGCTTTGACCACTAGCCTACCCCACCGCCTCTTGATACATAAGAGAGCGGCGCACTGGAGTGAAGCGGCACTCTGGATGGAAGCACTGACTGATACATAAGAAAGTGTCCCACTGGATGGAAGCGTTGATACATAAGAGAGCGGCGTGTGAACGCTCTGTCTGTTCACAAACACCGTAGAAGCAGGAAGCGTAACCCTGAAAAAATACGAATAGTTGTTGAAAACATTAGATCAGACCTTAGATGGCAATTAGGTCGCTCAACCAGGTATGACGACGGACTGTCTACTCACCTGGCACGAAATGCACATACTGCCTACAGGCACAAGGGGTCATCTCAGAGATATTT